CACCAACTTGTTATCTGTTAGTAGTTTGACTAAGAATCTGAATTGCTCAGTAATTTTTTCTCCTGGACGTTGTATTCTGCCAGCTCATTTCTAGCAGAGATAGGGTCTCCACAGCTGATGGATCCCATGTTCCTATTGCTGGGAAGGGATCTGTCAAGGTTAATGATTCCATTTGTTTACCCTCTGTCCTCCATGTTCCTAGATTGAGCACCAACTTGTTATCTGTTAGTAGTTTGACTAAGAATCTGAACTGCTCAGTAATTTTTTCTCCTGGACGTATTTTGCAAGATCTGGATTCAAAGAGGACGATTGGGAGTGGTCGTGAAGTGAATGGAATCTACCTCTTGGATACTTTTCCAATTCACGAAAGTCATCATGTTTGCAAGGACAATGAGTCAAAACCTGTGGATCAGATTATACTTTGTCATAATCGTCTGGGTCATTTGTCTTTTTCTTCTTTAAGTTCTTTGTTTCCAAAGTTGTTTTGAGTCTGTGAGTCTGTCAAGGTTGTGAACTTGGAAAGCAGTGTAGACACTCTTTTAAACCGAGTAATAAAAGATGTTCTTCTCCTTTTGATGTTATTCATTCGGATGTGTGGGGCCCTTATCATGTTCCCTCTATGGGCGGTTATCGCTATTTTCTCCTGTTTGTGGATGATTTCTCTCGATATTCCTGGATTTACCTGATGAAATCACGCGATGAGGTACCATCCTTGGTGAGGCAATTCCACCAGATGGTATTAACACAATTTGGAACTAGAATCAAGATGTTCAGATATTACAATGCTAGGGAATATTTTGAGAGACATCTTGCCTCATATCTATTGGAGTATGGTGTTGTTCATCAGAGTAGTTGCCCCTACAGTTCACAACAGAATGGTGTTGCAGAGAGAAAGAACAAACACATTGTTGAGACGGCAAAAAGCATGATGATTATAGCTACAGTTCCGGATCGTTTTTGGGGTGATGCTGTTCTCACGGTAGTATATTTGATTAATAGGGTGCCCTCTCGTATACTTGGATTCAACACTTCATTCAGCCTTCTTTTTCCTCAGGGGGAGATGTTTCACATTCCTCTAAGGGTGTTTGGGTGTGTCTGCTTTGCGCATTTTCTTGGTCCTTACCGTTCGAAGCTTGATCCCAAGGCAAAGAAATGTGTCTTCCTTGGATATGCAGAGAATCAGAAAGGGTATCGCTGCTATGATCCAGTCTCTGGGAAGTTACTATGGACATTACCTTTTTTGAATCTACGTACTTCTTCTCAAGGAATCCTTCTCAGGGGGAGTGTTTTGGGGAAGTAAGTCAGCAATTTATCCCTCTCTCACTTCCAGCTCCGGTGTCTACTACTGTGCTTGACAACCATCCGATGTCACCTACCTTGCCACCCTCTTTGCTTTCCGTCTCACAGTATTACTCACGACAGACACTTCATAAGGAGGTTTATTCCACTACAACAGAACTCACACCACTTCCTGTCGATCCCTTGGAGACTCCAGATTCGACTGATATAGATCCAGGTATTCCTCTTGATCCCACTACTATTTCAGTTCCCATTGGTCCCACTAACACTGTTACAAATACCCTTGATCTCCCTATTGCTCTTAGAAAAGGGAAAAGGAAGTGCACTGCTCATTGCATATCACAATACTTACCCTACTGTGGAGTTTCTCCTTCCTACCGTGCTTTTCTCTCTTCTCTTGATTCCGTGTCTATACCCAAGGGTGTTAGTGAGGCTCTCTCCAAACCCGAGTGGAAGACAACTATGCAGGAAGAGATGGTGGCTTTAATTAAGAATCAGACATGTGAGATTGTGGACCTACCAGAAGGCAAGGAGACAGTTGGATGCAGATGGGTTTACACAGTAAAGTATACGGCAGATGAAAGCATAGAGAGGTACAAGGAAAGACTTGTTGCAAAATGGTACACACAGACCTATGGCATTGATTATCTATAGACTTTTGCACCAGTTTCAAAGATGACCTCTGTTCGGATACTCCTTTCTCTTGCTGCCTCATACTCTTGGCCCTTGTTTCAAYTRGATGTRAMGAATGCTTTCCTAAATGGGGATCTGCAAGAAGAGGTGTATATGGATCTTCCAGTTGGTTTTTATGATAGTGCTGAAAAGGGAAAGGTATGCAAGCTGAAGAAGTCACTATATGGCTTGAAACAGTCTCCCAGAGCATGGTTCGTCAGATTCAGAAAGGCCCTGATTGTTTTTGGCTACATTCAAACTCAATCTGATCACACATTGTTTGTGAAGCATAGGGGATCTTTGGTGTCAATCCTAATTATTTTTGTGGTTGTTATTGTTGTCACTGGGAATGATCTGAGTGAGATTGATAGTCTGAAGAGGAACCTGCAGAAGGAATTTGAGATTAAGGACCTTGGAGAACTGAGATACTTTTTAGGCATCGAAGTTGCAAGATCAAAACATGGAATTTTTATCTCT